CATGTATACTGTGGCGTAATGTCCATGTATACTGTGCCGTGCTGTCCATGTATACTGTGCCGTGCTGTCCATGTATACTGTGCCGTGATGTCCGTGTATACTGTGCCGTGATGTCCATGTACACTGTGCCGTAATGTCCATGTATACTGTACCGTAATGTCCATGTATACTGTGCCGTAATGTACATGTATACTGTGCCGTGATGTCCATGCATACTGTGCCGTAATGTCCATGTATCCTGTGCCGTGATGTCCATGTATACTGTTCCGTAATGTCCATGTATACTGTGCAGTGATGTCCATGTATACTGTGCCGTAACGTCCAAGTATACTGTGCCGTAATGTCCATGTATATTGTGCCGTGATGTCCCATATCTCGTCGCCGTTTTGTCCATCTGTCATCATTAATATGTACAAATGTCCATGTATACTGTGCCGTGATGTACATGTATACTGTGGCGTAATGTCCATGTATACTGTGCCGTGCTGTCCATGTATACTGTGCCGTGCTGTCCATGTATACTGTGCCGTGCTGTCCATGTATACTGTGCCGTGCTGTCCATGTATACTGTGCCGTGATGTCCATATTCTTTAAAATCATTACATGATCCATATATCGTCGCCGTTTTGTCCATCTGTCATCATTAATATGTACAAATGTCCATGTATACTGTGCCGTGATGTCCGTGTATACTGTGCCGTGATGTCCATGTACACTGTGCCGTAATGTCCATGTATACTGTGTCGTGATGTCCATGTATACTGTGCCGTGCTGTCCATGTATACTGTGCCGTGATGTCAATGTATACTGTGCCGTAATGTCCATGTATGTTGTGCCGTGATGTCCATGTATACTGTGCCGTAACGTCCAAGTATACTGTGCCGTAATGTCCATGTATACTGTGCCGTGATGTCCAATAGAGGAAAGGAATTAGGATAAGCTCTTGTTTCCAGATCCTCTTTATTCTTTGTTTTAAATTTTGTTTAATGTACAAAAATTGAAAATAAAATAATGTTTAAACTAGTTAAACTAAATATTCCAAATCCTATTGCGTTTATTTCAATCAAATATTTGTTCTTTTCGTCAATACAAAAGAAAAAATGGATACATTAGGTCTGGCTGTTACCGTTACCTAGAATCCAGTCATATACATCATGTATAAACATCATTATTTGGCTGAAGGGAACTGTGGGAACGGTCCTGCTTGTACTTTTACTGAGGGTATTTTACCGTGATCAGTTAATATTGCACAAGACGTTGGGTTGTTTGCACTTCTGAAACAGTATATTGAGCAGTCACTTACACCCTTATCTCTTACATACCGAATCAAAGCATGAATAAGAAATACTAGACTCTACCAATCCCTTTGGGTAAAGATTAGTAAACTTAAACCCAACTGGGGGAACAACTTCTTTTTACCGCGCTTATGTCTCAGAACTATTTTCCTGTCATGGCTAACCAATCAAAATCAAATAAAATTGCGGTTGAATCACTTACTAATCGCCTTCCCACACATTGTTATCACGCCATGTATACGGAGCCAATCAGCTGAGAGGTGGGCGGAGTTAGTATTCGCCTTCGATTCTTCACTTTGCTTGTCATCAATCGAACGAAACATCGCTGCAGACGACTATGCATCATTAACCCGCTTAAGTCCGATTTCGAATCAAATTTGCAAATCAACATGGCCATAAGCTATCTCAGATTTTGATGGAGGTCGCATGGTTTCCCTGCAATACTCCTGTCATATGCTTTAGCATTCATGAAACTTTCTACACACGCCTTTACTTGCAATCAGCCTTGTATCGATGATACACACACTTGTAATATCTCTGTAACAGAGGTCATTCTTTTTTCAATGCCTCCGCTAGGAGTCGAACCCGGGACCTCTGGTTTACTAGTCTTACGCTCTACCGAATGGGCTAAGGAGAAATTCTTCCTAGCCGAGTCGGTAGGAAGCGGCTAGTATTTACCAGGGTGACATACTCCCCCTCCAGGAAAGAACCCGTTTCGGGTTTTCCAGGGGTCATAGTGATTCCTTTGCAGGTATCGCCAATTATTTTTGTCATATCTCCCGGGTCCCTACGTAGGCGTCAATGTAACAGAGGCCATTATTTTTTCATTGCCACCACAAGGAGTCGAACCCGGGACCTCTGGCTTACTAGTCTTACGATCTACCGAATGAGTTAAAAAGAAATTCTTCCTAGCCGAGTCGTTAGGAAGCGGCTAGTATTTTACCAGGGTGACATCACTACAAAGAGAACGGCCACATTTATGTTAGAGAATGCATTAATTGAGATATAGTGGTGTGTACCTATCACTCAGTATACAGCACTAATAACGATTGTAGGTACGGATGCACTAGAGGTATCCCGAACAGTCTGCACCACCTCGTTTAGTGTACAGCTAGCCACGGTCACTTGACTTAGTCCCACAGGAATGTCCTGTCACGTCTGTTTCTCCCTTCACTGCTCTTAAGTTAGAAGTGGTATGTCTCTAAACCACTGAAAATAACTCGATCACTTAGCTACAATATGTCGAGTCATTAAATTCAACTGTCAGAATAGTACCGAGACATTTTCTCTTATACTGCATACAGTCAGAGAGACGGGTAAAGTTTTTACAATTCCATCTCTAAGTGGATGTTAGAATGGGGTCATTTTGATGACTCAGCTTTTGTCCCCCGCGCCTTTGTTCATCAGTTCGCCTTCCCTCCTAATCCAGGTGGGTTCCTTGACCTTCCTTAGTTTCCAGTTGTACTCCCTTTCAAGCACTTTGACGCTGTTCCAGTCTATGTAGTGGTTATTCGTTGCGTGGTGTGTAAAGGCTGATTTATTGTGTTGTTTCTCTGATATCTTCCTTTTATTTCTAGTGTAAACTTAATGGTCATGGCTTTAACATCTTTCTGATGATAAATAAGACCTTTTCCCAAATCTCTCAGTTTCCCCGATGTATGTATGGTTACAGTTATTACTCAGAAAATGGTAAACCACCAATTGCTTGTCTTCCTTCGGCAATTTTTCTTTTGGGTGAACTAATAGTTGGGCATGGGTGTGCTGATGTGATGTTTGCGCAACACTCTTGAAAGTGTTTTGTGTTTCAGACAACCCTTTTATGTATGGTATGGTGACCATGCCGTTAGTTTTTATCATCTTTGTACGTTTCTGTTTCTTTAGGCCATATTCCCATTACTTTTACTTTCATTTTGTTTTTCTACTTTCCTTATCGAACGTTCCGGGTATTTTCATGTTGTCAGGGCTTGTTTGCTATGTCGCTATCATTTTCTATGTCTTCCTGTTTATGCATATATGAGGAGGGTGCTTGCTACTCATAACTTCTTTACCATAATTTAGGACGACACTCCATCAGAGAAGTTGCTGCCCCAAACTTTAGTTGGTAAATTGTTTCCCTGAATGAGATATATATGGTGTTGAGCATCCATTAACGCTTTATCCTGACCATATTTTATAATTACTTAACCTTTCTTATAGAACTTCACAGATATCACGACCAGGGAGTGTGCTGTGGTAGAATATCAGGTCAGTACTCTGAACATTTAACAAATGAGAATCATATGAGCAGGCAGAGTTCATGTTCTTTAAATCAATATTAAGACCAGGTTATGAAGTCATTGTAATGCATTTCTGGACCGTAACGTCTGATTACTTCCATTTTCTTTAAGAAACTTCACATATGTGTGCTCCATGAAAAAAGAATGTGTTACCTAACTTATAGATGTTATCAAACAGGTCAAGTTCATGACAAAAGGTCAATTATTGTAGTGTTTTACAGATCAGACCTTCTGCTTTCATGTTTAATTTTTGAACCTTCCAAAACGTGCTAATTATAACCAGGCGAAGTGTTTATATCAGAGAGATTGAAGTAATGACAAGTGTCAAATTTCCAAAACCAGAATTTATCATCGCATAAAACCTTTTCCTGAATATTTCATAGATGTATTGTGGTGGGAAAAGGTGAGAGTTCTTAGGAACTGTTTCAGGACCGTGAACGAAAGGTCAAAGTCAGGACCGTGAACGAAAGGTCAAAGTCGTGACAAAGGGCAAGGTGTATAGCTTTGTGAGCCGTATTTTATGCAATTTTTGTTACGCTTCATGTTTGAACGAAGGCGATTGAGATTTTATTGAGATTCGATTATTTAAATGCTGATTGTGCGTTTTCAGTGGAATTTTCTTCGTCAAGGTTACTAACCTTGCTAGTATAAGAGTGTTGTAGTTCAGATGATCTCTAACATATGGAGGTCAATGATAATAATATTCACACTGAGTATTTCTAATGTTCTTAAATATATCTAGTTAAATTTCGGACGGTCCAATCACATCACCGAGTACGTATACTCAAAGAAAACACAGAGAAGCCTTATCTGTAATAACAATGTTTTAATGAATAGTTTTAACGAATGAGACATATTAACAATGACAAACAATAAATTATCACATGAGTTCTTATAACGTAACATAGAGTTTTGAATAAATGTACATGAAGTCCTACAAACGGGTGGATACTGTCTTTCACACGTAGTGCAAAAGACGGGCATCCCTCATCCACAGCTAGGATAGAATACGGACAGTTTCTACCTGATTCTACAGTTATAAAGTAGCCGGCAGAGCTCACTTCAACAGACTGGTCTAATATTACAGAGTTTGGTTGGAAGTGAGAAGTTAGTTTACTGTTTTATATTATTTATGTAGTGATCGAGATTCTAGGATTTCACTGCTCTCGTGTTACAACCCTGCAGCAGGTTTTCCTTCTTTTCTGTATTCTCTATAAAAGTTGTAGACTCCTATAAACGACTGGCGTACAATGTAAACAATATACAACAATTGGATACCGAAGTGTAAACAAGAATGTAATTCAATATAATATACTCCGTCTTTTCTTATTGCAGAGTTATCTGCTCTTGATAGCAGGTATTGATTGTTACGTCTTTTTTTGTGAGAGTAACGTCATCATTTTTTGAGAAAACGACGTAATTTTCTCACACAAACTAATGACGTAACAATTAATACCTGCTCACAGGAGCAACTAACTCTAATACAATATATACATAACACACCAATCAGAATAATAATAGGGGGTATGGGTTGCTGGTCAAAGATTAAATCATTTGAGAAAGCTGTCTGTCCCCAGTTTCTCAAAGATTGGTCACCACTGATTCGTGGAAGTTAAAATTGTTATCAATACAAATCGAGGTCTTTCAGAGCAAAATAATTCATCAAAACACATCAATATGATTTGTCTTAATAAAACTATAGCAGTAAAATTATTCAGAATATCTTGATTTTGTTCTATTCATATTTGAATATTTCCCCCTACCCATTACTTAATTATAACTAACCTATAAGCAACCAGGACTGATGGTTAAATCTAACTTGATTTCATGGTATCCACTAATAACTGTTTTTTCATGATGATGATGGGGACCTTGAAAGACTGATTATTCATCTTCTACAATGTCTATCTGTCAAAATTTACAGTCGCTCTGCATCCTTCCGTTAAAATGCATTGAGAAGGCAAATGTTGTTATGAGACTATAACAACATTTGCTATTGTAACGTCATCAATCTCTATTGTGACATCATCAATTTCATTGCTATCAACATTAACTTTGCTGTTCAAAGAAATGTTCGAAATAACCTTAATAAAACATAACTACTCTATCAAAATGTGAATATAAAAAATGAATATTTTAGCAAATATTGTTATGGTCCTGTAATACACAATTCTATTGCTGACAAACTAACATAAAGCCCTACCAGGCTTTATTAAGTTTGTCATAAATAGCAATGTGTGATAAAGGTCCCTAAAACATTTGCTAAAACATTCATTACTTAGATAACGCCAGGGATTCATATAATTAATTGATTGTATATTCCTATTATTCAATCGAATATTTTGATGTGGAATGAAATATTTCATTTACCGAGTCATTCCACGCAAATAAAACGGGTACGGCAATACGCGTAAGAGACCTACATGTCAATCGTCGCAAAATGTTAAAAGAATAAATTTGATAAAAGATATTGGTGAATTACCTTTTACATCATCTTATAATATTAATTACATAGTTCAGCGGTCAGATAGAGCGTTGTTCACTCGTGGACTATCTCTAACAGGGAGAAGTGGCTGATTTGAATACATTGTTGATGCGATGGATGATCGAGTATATGGAAGTTTGTTGGACATTGATGGATAAAAGGTGTATGGCAATTAATTAAAATATTATGTTTGGTGAGGAAGCTGAAAGCTTAGGGACTGACGAGAAATTGTATGGCAATACATTAAATGTATCATTTGATGAGTATGCATGGGGAATGACTTGTAGAGAGATTCTATTTGATGGAATAATTTAATCCGAAAATAGTCGGCTGTTGTTAATTAAATGAGATAATGAAACCAAAGGACTCCGACTCTATATTTATTCGGAAAACAAACCCGAACTGTATACTTTGTTTACGCTTCTGGTGAAAGTAACTTTCATAATGACTAGTTTCGTTTGACGGTGCAGGCAATGCAGTGCGTGTAGATTTATAGAACTGTGTGATATTTCCTCTGTCGATAGTCTATATCTAGTTACTGATTTGTGATTGATTTGCAGGTTACCTCGTTTGATAGTCTATATCTAGTTTCTGATTTGTGATTGGTTACAGATTACCTCTTTTGATAGTCTATATCTATTTTCTGATTTGTGATTGGTTACAGATTATCTCATTTGGTAGTCTATATTTAGTTTTGTGATTTGTGAATGGTTTGCAGATTACCTCTTATGTTAGTCTATTTTGTCACAGATTTGTAAACGGTTTCGGGATTACCTCCATTTATAGTCTGTTTCGACATTTTGACTTGTGAATGATTTCTTGACTACCTCTATTGGTAGTCTATATCTAGATTCCGACCACTGAAATTGTTTCCATATTGAATCTGGCGAAATACCTTGTTTAGTTTCTGTCTTATTAAATGGTTTCCGGATTATTTCTTTTTATAGTTTTTATCTTATTTTGCCTGTAAATAGTTTCCAGATTTTCACTGTTTCTATATTTTCTGATTGGTTGATGGATTTCCCGGAACTAGGCATTACTAGCTGAAGTCTGATGATTTAACGATTTATCTACATGGAATTCCCTCTAACAGATTCAGTAAAAACGACTAGATGGTTCTCTGCTGTAATATTTAAACATTATATAAAAATGTATATATTCATATCAGAGAATGTATGTCTAGCCAGTAAGATTATCGATATAAGTTGATAAAACTTGTTTCATATTTCTTGTAAAATAAAAAAGCTTGATTTTGATAAGTAAAGTTATACCGGAAAGTTGGATAAATCCAAGCAAGTAACAAAAAAAAATTTCTTTCTGCTTTCTTTCTATGTAAGTTGCCTGCTCTTATAACAAACCTGCATGCCAATTTGTCTTTGTTTTATAACGATGTAGAGGCTATAGGACTGGGGTATGTCTAACTGGGCGTCCTATTATACATATATCTATATATTGGCCGCTGGGACCCCTGCATCGGGTTTCTCAACGCCTCATTATATCTCTGTACCTGCATGCGTTACATACATAAGGATGTCGAAATTACAATGCTTAATACTATTACTTCCAAACAACCACACTGTATATTGTTTTATATGTTATTACAATCATAAGAGGCAGAAAGGGGCCTGTCTCCCAATTAGCCACCATTGGAAACGGTAAGATGATGACGACAACAGTACATGTAGACCCAGTGCACTAGCCGTAGTACTATAATGGTAACCTCGCTTTGGGACTACCGGAGCTCTGATGGTGATAGTGAACGGTATCTGTTTTTTGATAACTCCGTCAATGTTAAGTCTTTAAACCAAATCATTAAGTTTGACTAGGCACTATTTTGTGAGGTTTCATGCTTGGTTGAAATAAACACTTTTTTCTTTCAGGGAAGAATATTTGGAATCTGTTCAGACAACATTGTGCAGTGAAACTCTATATCAAGTCGAAGACATTTCACATCGTACTTAATCCAATTGTTGAACTTCGTTCATTTATGTCACACTTTGACATTGATACAACTTGTAGTTGTATCTCGTTTAGCTACACAATATGATTTGTCATTATATACATGACAACGCAACACTCCCCCATACCACGTTCAGCGTTTAAATGGTCTTGGCGACGGCTGAGACTTGTGTTGTGTCGCTAAGTTCGTACCACTGTTGGAGTCCGAACTGTTTTTAAGGTAACCAGGCAACCCATTCTTTGTTGAATTATAAACATGTGAATCTATGCCACCCTTTTTAAGGCATTGTGAATGAAGCATAATAGAGATAAACTCCAAGTAACCCCGCCGGAATCGACGGTTTGTGGTTGCGTACAAAATACTATTGAGGGCGCTGTTAGAATGACCAATGGTAAGCAAGATTATATACAGAAGACGTGGTGCGTCATTTAATCTGTCAAATAACACCAAAAGATCATACGGTGTCCAGCACATCAAAAACACAACTACGACAATAAAAAATGTCCGCACCATTCGGATCTCTTCTTCTCGTCTCGTATTAAGCACTGCTGCATTATTGCATGATATCCTAGAAAAGGCCTTTCGGAGTTGCTTGCGGTTTTTCTGAACGTATTTGTAGATGAGTATGTAGCAAATAAAGACTAGTATGAATGGCACCCAATAGATAGCTGCACTGAGAAACAGAACATACGATAGGTGACCGCTCCGGTCGAATGAACACCCCATGGTCTTAAAGTCATAGGCGTGTCCTCCCCAGCCAAGGTAACTCGGCATGTCGACACAGAGCACAAGGATCCATAGAAATAAACACATGATGGGCGTGGTCCACTTGCTGTATATCCGGTGGTAGTACTTATTATGGCACACAAAGATGTACCTGGGGACACATACAAAGGTTAAATAAAATGTCTAGATCAAGCATCATGGCTTTAAGTTGAGTGACGTGAACATCCTTGTGCATCTATTTGATTATACTTATTCATATTTCAATGAGGATACTTTATATTTGAACAATTTTCATATTCATTTGCATATTCTGTACGGATTCAATTTGAAACTTATGAATTTAATTAATAAATCGATTTGTCTCTCTTAATTGTATCCACCTTTAATTATTTCATCCTTCTTACCTATTCAGTGCAATAGCCGCAAGGGTCATCATGGAGCACGCGCAGCTGGAGACACAAATCGTTGCTACGGCGTGACATACGGCTTCAAAGTTAAGGAAATGTTCTGGACCAATCACAATTCCTGAAACAATCATAAAACATCCGATGAAACTTTAACATAGTAACACTGCCTCTATGGCGGATAGTTTAACTACGTCATTATAGATTGAATATCAACGACAACTGGAAAAGTTCGATAGAGTTGTAAGAAATGAAATTTCTTTTCACATCACTTAATCAAAGTCAACCAACGATTAACGACTGCCTGGATATCTGTGATATCACGTCATTTAAACCAGAACTAATTACTCATTGCCCTTAAAGTCATGAACATATTGCATATTACATATTAGCGTGACGATTTCGATTTTCCGATCGCAATTTCCCCTTTTCTCAATAGCAGGGTACTTGGGTCCCCACCCTACGGTGTTAACACGGCGCAGTCAATTTGATATTTAACAGCTCGTGCCGAATATCATAATTTCCGTGAAAGTTTTCATCTGCTGACAGACAACATTTCTGGTCAGGGTTTCGGAGACACAGCTGATGGAGTCTAAATGGAAGTTTTTTTAGTCGTCTTCGTGATATCATTGAGATATACTGTTGCCAAACGTGATATGACTGTCAATTTATTTTGGTTACTCTTATAAGATGCCTTGTTTTTTCGTTGTCATCATCCCGGTTCTTACTTTCAGAACGTCACATTTTGACATATGTTTGCAAAGCAAGTGTTATAGATAAAGGCCGGAACACCTGGTTTTATTCTCCTTGGTAGTTTTTTTTTAAACTTTTCTCCTTTGCTTCAGTTTTATCGATTTTGTGTTCGGATAACGATTCTGTTGCCACTTATAAGTATTCTCTTTACAGTTTTTTTATATTATGGCGGAGCCCCTCTTTATAGTCACCAACATACGCTTTGATACACTTCAAGAAAAAAGGCGACAAAATCGAGAAACGAGAACATTGGTAAAAGCTCATCATACACCATAAATAAGAAGAGGATGGCAGAGGAAAACCAATCTCGTCATCAGCTGACATCACTGATGTAGGATACCTAGACTGTGTTGGATTATTTCACACTTGGGAGTTTATTTCCGATACGAAATGTCTGGCTACTGTCGAAGTGTTCAGTACACTGATGAGTTATTCCACTACACTAATCTAACAAGCCAACATGACATCCACCCATATTGTTACCTGCCTCTTACACACGAGCAGACACATCTAGAATATCTCCCGCTCCTCAGGGGGGCGACATCGTTCGGGTATCAAATCGTTATCAAGTATGACGGATGTTAAAAAATAATTATCTCGGAAATGATGTGTGGTTCCGTAGTGCATTAATCATATTACATTGCACTAAATTATTGAAGTGCACAAGCTTCATTTCATCGCAGCAGTATGACCAATCTATCACATGCTCACGAGCGCATCTCACTATTCCCAGCAGCGCTGGATGATGCATGACCATTATGCCAAATAGCTTAATGTTATTGCTCTTGCTTTAATTTTCCATGTGAAACAAGCCGAGTAAGTAATGACAGACATAAATTGTTTTTATTGATATGTGGTACTAACGTGTACAGGAACCCTCTCCCACTGCATGCTAAAGGAAACGCTTGAGAATTACACTTGTTGTTCACATATTCAAGTAATCTGCACTTAGTTTCGTTTTGGTTTTAACTGTATTAAAACTTGACCTGAGACTAAGGCTGATCATGTAGCTAAGCTGGTTGAAGCGACCGCATTAATTGTGATCACAGATCCAGGGTTCCAACCTTCTCTGATAATGTTGCTTTTCACTCTTAGAGCACAGCTGTTGCGTTTTTGCCTTCGTGTTCATTTTTTCTGAAGGGTTATGTTTCTTTTCAGGAATGATTTATCATGGCTATTGTTCTACTGTTAATTTCTGTTACGGGAATCCTTAACCTGTTTCGTAATCTCAGTTTTATTTTACCAGCATCGTCCGATAAGCGTTTAAATGTAATTGATTACCTAATGCTTTAAACTATTTATTTCGAGCTATAAGCAACAAAAAAGTTGGCATAATCTGGCTTTTACAAAAGCACAAAATTGGCTCTGTCTTGTAAGCGGATGTGCGGGCTTTTCCAAGAAACTTAAAGCCACAGTTTCATTTTAATTAAAAAACACAGTTGATCAGGTAAAAACATTGCAGCACCATAAATATATTTACAAATTCCCTTTTAATGTGAGAGTTTAATATGTTGACGTGAAACCAACATAGGCAATGCTTGATACACGTAGCTAGCTATAGACGGGTTGTTGGTATAAATACATAAAACAGTTATGTACGCTGTTTGATTAACATTTCTCTAACAGTGCGGGAGACGCATCCTTGCCCGTGTCTCAAACATATATTTACTCTCACGTTTTGATCCAAAGTTATTGCATTACTATGTTAACTCCCGAAGAGCTCGGAGCTATATTACCGTGTCGTGTAGTTAGAACTGACATCCATTATCTAGATAAAACGTTAGCCGTGTCTACTGCTATCGAATCTGATGCTACAGTCGTGTTCATATTCTGACCCTAAAATGATATCGATAGCGAAAATTGCTCGAACGATACAAAGGATTACACAATGCAGTTAAAGAGGTGAAAAGGATAGATAAATGTACTTATAAGTTGAATGTGAACATAAATATGATATTACACAGGAGCACATATTGCACATATCAATAGCTTCATTTTACACACTCGATCGGCTATTGTGTTTATGTTACAGGTCATAGGTCATGAACACGATAACTCACTAACCTTGAGTTTCATATTTTATTAGGTGTTTAAGCATCTTTGGACAAAGAACAATCAGACGTATCTAATACTTTATATGGGAAAGACAGGCTACTGTGATCCCGTCTCTTACGGTACATCTATGGCCATTTAGACATTCTTAACCGATAAAAGCCTGCTATATCATGGTGAATTTCGCATAATGTATCATACCTTTATGTTAACTGGCTTGTTGCTAAATCAGTCGTCGGAATAACGGTACAGCTACAGCTATTCCTGCAGCTAACGATTACGTGTAAAGTACGTACTGATCTGTTCCCATTATTTTGTGGAATACTCATTACATTGTTTAACTTGGGCTTTTTATAGTGTTGCTTGATTTAAATAGACGTTTCCAACGTCGTTACGGTAATAGCTATAGGTATACACGAATCGTACATTTCCTATATAATCAAGTGTTGTTAAAGCACGTTGGTTCCGACGGAGATGCTGTTACAAGCGGGGTATACAGACCGTACAGTTCTTATATATATTGTCGAATCGCCTTCATTAAACATGTATGTCGATCTTGGTAGTTAGTAAACACCACATTTTTGGTTCAGACGGTGATGCCATTATAGGCGTGGTATGTATGCACACAGTGATGTTCAAGAAATAGGTTTACCATCCATCATATGTTGGTGGCATGTATTTGCGCATTTTTTAAAGCAGACAGACCTGCTTGGCTGATGAAATATTATGTTTTGCTTATTTACGAAAACATACTCCAACAGAATGTTTGTATCTTACATACCAGAAACTTGCTCTTGTAAAGCAGTTACTAGGCCGAATGCCGTGCTTCTTCTAATATTTAGAAAAATGCAATCAAAATAACCCGCTCTTTATCTTTTAGTACTCTTCGGAAATCTATCGTGTTCTCTAGTTGAAATGAATATGCTATCAAAATGGACAAACTCTGTTCTCGTGACGAACACAGATGTTAATTGTAAGTGCTATATCTCCGATGTTGCATGTTATCTCTCTGTCATCTGATTAGTCTTCGGCATTAAGCATTATTCCATTAATTGTTTTAGTATGATCAGTATTGTTTGATACTGATTAATCTGGGGTATAACAAACAAGATATTTTAGTGTCATGGTTGAACGACTCCAATCTTTTGTGTTATTGTTATCAAAGGCAATCACGCGTTTGAGGTTCCGTTTTATTTGTACCCTCTAGGGTACTGATATTAAGTTGTACGCTTCATGTTGCCAATGACAATGGAGCATATGCAGGTAATTTTTAGATCAGATCCATGCAGGATATTACGGGAAGTATATTTACTTTTCCGGATATTTCCACGCAACTCGATTAATTGATGTGATTGTGGTGAAAGTTGTCTATTCACATCATTGACGCCAGATGCAGAAACAAACGAGCCACAAATAAGATGCAAGTCATGCGAAAAGCAAAACTGAATTTCCTTTCGTAACAATACAAGGATCCAGCTGTAGAATGTCTCATCAGTTAATAATACGTTCAGTCAGTTATTTAAATTCATTTATCAACCAAAATGCGAAAAAAATATTTTCTGTTAGTGATGATGATTTTGAATCCCAGAACGTATATACATATATATATATATATTATGATTAAAACACTTTCTTTGGTTCGTAATTGTATTCTCGCTTCAGGAAGATTTTCAAGCTTGACTTGATTGTAGGTGCAGATAAGTTAAATTCAAACTTCAAACAAAGAGTCTGGTCGCGTGTTTACTGACAGATCGCAATTTTATGACTTTCACAGACATTAACCTCTCTCTCAAGTCTGTCTATTAATTGTTTTAAAGAGGGTGTGTGAAAGGGAACTCAATCAACGTGTGGAACTCTTCAAACATTATTATACATTTATGACGAAACCAACCTCAAACTGCTGAGAAAAAGACAGGGTATATTACTCATACATGCTAGAGATGCACGCTCTTTGTTTAATCGATTTACTTGAAATATACTGTCATTACTAAAGAGAGATTATCATACATGACCTAACGAAGAAAAAAAACTTGTTACGGCGTATTAAATGAAGGGCATATGACGACGGGGGTATTTTATAGTAAATCAGCTCTAATACACAGACCAACGCCACGCAGCGAGCACATCGGAAACACTCAATCAGAGTGTAGGCTTGACGTGAGGGGTATTCGGGGATAACTAACGCGCATGATTAGATTATTTTACGCTAATATATAACCACACTCACAAAATTATTAAACGTTTCTTTTTAAATTTACATCATTTTGATATTGAAATGTTCAGAAATACATTTCCAGATTATTTGATAACATTTGTCACCTTTGTTAAATGTTCAGAAATATCTGACTGTATTTATCAGAGATTTTTTGTTTTGTTTTACGTTTTCTTTGTTTGGAATGATGTAGCCCTTTAACCCTAAAAATATGCAGCTCATCTTCACGTGCATCGATTCCTGTGTCATTTGAAGCCGTTACTATCATTGCCGTAACGAACCGTTGCAAATGGTTTCTATCGTAGCACCACCTTTGCCCCAGACTAGAGTAACACTTATATGGACGGATGTTACACCTGTATTAAGTCACGTGATACTTACCTACGATATTATAAGGCAATACAATGGACGCAACCACGAGGTCTGCAATAGCTAAGTTGACGATGAAAACATTTCCAGTCGTTCGTAATCTTCTGTGGACACACACAGCGCCTATGACCTGTAACATAAAAACAATACCCGATTTAGTATGTAACATGAAGACATTGATATGTGCTACACTATAACTTAAAGCTAACAAAACGTGCAGGTTAATGTTCATCTTGGTTGTCATTGGCAACAAGTTAAAGCGTCCAATAACCTTCTTATTCATATTTTATTTCTCGCTGTTTTCTTATATACTGTGGTCTGAGGTAGTATCATATCCCTTCATATTTTAAGGTCTTCAAAGCCGTTGCGCAACGCCCACGAGGACAAGATGTAGTGGTATAGCGCCCCAGTCGGGTGAGATGGTTATACTAATTTAGTACGTCACATGGCTGTTAACCTTGGAAATCCTGTGTGATGGCGATCAGTGAACCCATGGAATAAATGTTTCCTGCTTTGTTCCCGATACTTGCATAAGCTTAGCATTGATAAGTCATGGTGGACAGGAATAAATCCTCGAAATCTAGAGGAGGTGGGGGAAACAAACAAGGGGAAGTATCTAATAAACCAAGGGGGATGTTTTCAAAAACAAAGCCAGTATGATAAATAACCAAAAGATGAAGTCTTTGTGCGTTTGAAAATATCGACAGCCGAAATCACTTTGTATTAGGAATATAAATTGAGTATATTGCAATATGTGCCCTTAAAAGGTCAAATATGATAATATCCATCTACATTCGTTGAGACACCTCCCAGAAATGGATAGATCTAGTATGATTTCGTGTTTGTGTATTGGGAGACTGAATTCATTGTGGTCAGGTAAAACATTCTCTTTGTGCTCTGACATTATCAGATAATACCCCGTTGGCCTAAACGAACACCTTTTATCTTAGCAGGACACAAGTTCATAAGAAACCACAAACAAAATAGACGCATGCCTGCTTAAGTAGCAAAGAAAACACAAACTGCAAAAGGAAACTGGGACGGAAACTGAAGAGAAAAGTAAAAGGCACTGTTAAAAAGCATGCAGTCAATTGTGGGTTTTCAATTGAAATATATAACTTAAAATGAAATGATGACATACTGTTTCGATTTTTGTCCGGTGCGCTTTTAATCGTGTGAAGCAATGGAAAGTTATTCATCATAATTTTCCATCCCGGAAAAAAATATATTGGAGTTAAACCAAGGCTTACATTATACAACGTAGTGCATTTTGCATTGTAATTATCTTTCTGTGTTTCTGATCCTTGATGTAACGTTAGAAATCGATTAATAAATCGTTTAATATAATCAGTAATATATCACGGTTGATTAACTGTTTCTTACACTCCTATTCTGTATGTAAATCCCTGATTCATGGCTGTACCTCTGAAAATGCACTCACACATACATGTATATAATGGCAATGGGTGAGCACGTTGTACCATATGAGACATGTATCACTGGAAAGAAGTAGGTAGGGAGCTTAAGTGTTACTATACCACACGTCACACACACGACACATCACCTACCTACCATGTACACTGTCACGACCATACAGCGAGTGTTAGGTAACAACAGTTGTACTTAGGAATACATGTTGTGGAGGTTATTTGTCCCTTTTCTTTTGGTGTTCCGCTGTTCCTGGTTTTTTTTTAGTATTTTGTTTTTATTTTGTATCGATTTATTTCCAAATTGTTTGTTACCTTGCTTTTCTGGCACCGTCTTTTCTTTGAATAATAAATATTGTCATTGCATACATCTGGCAATAGAAATTAGTCTATGTGTCAATCCCTTCTCAATTATGTTGTAATAGGAAAATGACCCTTAGATATATATACAGTAAGCATAAAACACATTGTACACAGCAATTTTCAGTCGACAAACACGCTATACTCAAACTCTTATAGGGTATGACATCACATAAGTCGCCTCTCGGTAACAAAAGTCGCCTAATGATAAGATCATACAACATGTTTACCGTATATTCAAGCTGGTATAATGCACATAAAGACCAAGCATACATAATAAGCATGTATGTATGTAAGTACTTTTGATTTCATCACTACAAAAAGGCAGTAACAAAGGATACGGGTTCTACCACACAGCAGCTCTAGTAACATACAGAAAAAACACTTGATAAGAGTAGTGTGATAACAGTACCCTTGAAACAGTTTTCGATATTATTTATATACTAGTACGCTATCCTATAGTACAACACATAAACGGCAACGTTGTGCAGACACCACACACGTAAACACTCGTGAAACAGAACATGGACGGTTGTGTTAGATGTGAATATCTTGAAAAGATCATACGTAAAAATACATTTTTTTCGATATGATATAAATGCTTTTTTAATTCATCACTGCGGTAGACACGTGTTTGGACCAAAATCGACCTCTCTCACGATTAAAACTGATACACAACCACATAGGATGTGATAGCTGTGCATGAAAGTAAACAAGCTTAAAATTCCAATCTCAAAGTTTTGAAATATGTAGTAAACTTAATGTCATTGGTTTCACTTTAAGATATTAATATGCTGCTCAGCATCTCAAGCGATGCTTCATGATCAGCCTGGCGCCGAAGTCGAGCAGTGTATCCCTCTTCTCATCAGACACTGAACAACGTTATTTATTATGAAACTTTTGCTTTTTTTCCCTTTCAACTTGAAAGACTTCATATGGCAATGGTTTCGATCCAGTGACAGTAATTAAAAAACAATATTTGTCATTTTTAAGACTAAATTTGGCTGTATGAATGGGATGGTGAATGAATTGGATAATATATCGATTCTAATTCCAAAATGATTAATGGTTTCTCCAGTGATCCGATGTTTTCAAGACATTTAAATGACAGTTTGGCTGTTATTTGATGTTGTTGAGATAACAGTTATCTATCTGTAACATCCGTGTAGAGTTAAATTTTGACTTAATTATCATCTCCCGCTTAGCTAGTGTGAATTATCGTTCGACATAAACTGAAGTTATTGTACATACCGTAGAACAACAACCCCTATACCTTTTCGCACAGTTATTACGTACACTACTGGAATGCTGTTTTATATTCTCCAGATATAATTTTGTTTAGGAAGATAAGATATCACGATCCTCTAAATGTCTTTACACGATGACGCTGTCTAGAGTAGACATTTGTTCTATGACGAAGACAGATAGGTATGATGGGTATTGGCACTAATAACCAACCATATAACCACAGATAACCACAGGAAACATCGTCAGCTTATTTACACGTCATAACAAACATCAAATAGCAATGGTGAAAAGACAAATGTCTTGGCAAACTAATCCGGGAAATACAATTTAGCTCCTCTCATAGGGAATTCGTTACTTTATGCATCAGATATACCATGGAATGTATAAACAATATTCTGTTTCCCAGGTTTAAGCTGATGGAGTATGATAATTCATGACGTATGATGTAGGAGTAAGGAGGCTGTTAGGGGCTCTAGCTGTAATAAAGAGGGGATGCATTCCGGTAAACGTTTTGTTGTAAAGAAAGCTATATTTACGGTTATTTTAGTTCGGTTGGACTGTTCAGTATATATACTACAGTGCTGTTAACACCAGGCAGTTCGACCTGCCATTCATCCAACACTTCTCCGACCTTCAACAAGGAGGAGAATGTAACCCACACACAGGTGATGGTACCTTTAACTTCGGTAACAGATACAGTTTGCCAAAAATGAATTAGACTACATCATACTGCTGTTTCGTCCTTCTAGGTATCATCCCTGATGCCAGGGGCCTAAAACACAAAATGGTCTAAACCAATGTCTTAAATTAGTTTTTACTTGCCTGCAATGCCAATGTTTCGTCATACAGTACTATTTAGGACACGTGAACTAGAGAATATATGATAGTAGGTCTGCGATATTTCCACGACCGGTTTTGGTGTAAAAAGCTCTATAGGTAAAGCAAAACTTGTGTTTTTAAATGTGTTAATGGTTCAATGCCGATATCATGTGCTTATTCATCACCATGTACGTCGTTTCAGTAAGAACTCTGCATTTCTGTCAATGTTTTTTACGACAAGAACAGCTGTCTTTTCGCGATTTTGTAAATCTTGGTTATAACTGGTTTCCATGGCGCAAAGTAGACAGTAACACTCTCGACTGCATTGTATATAATATACATAAACATATTGATTGTTAGTGGTGTAATACCTCTAGCTCGGTCCACAACTTCTGCTGTTTAAAAAAGAGGTCTTCAGAGTTTGTTTCTAATATGACATGTGGTTGTAATATTATACAGCCATGGCTGGTCACTTGGCCTCGTGATATAAAATAAAACTTAACCACTTCAACCATCTGAAAAAACTGAAACTAACGAGGTTTAGAGAAAGTCAGAATGACTGTGTATTAATCCCAAGTGAAATCAGATCCAAAGCACGGTAGTCCAGTTGACCTGTGTCACGAGCATGCTCATTCAGAGTTCATTTCATTTAGAAATTCAACGCAAACTCCATCAAACAAGCTATGTTTTCTAATTCACTTATATATGGTTGACGAATGATGAAGGCTTGAATGTTCTTACCCTACATTAAGGGTGACAGAGGGGGTTAGAGGATAAGGCAACCAAATCATCAGTGAGGATTGGATATTTCCTGTTTATTTTGGGTTATTGTTGAACTTCCTTAAGCTTTCGATACGACATTGACAACGACATCGTAACTCATAACCAATTAGGATGTCACGTGGTTAACAGTGTTCTCTATTTTAACTTTATCGACAGGAACACAAAGGTGCCGTGTATACACGTGGTGAATCACTCGTTTTATTTCAAGAAATCCTACACAGTGTTTTAATAATAATCTATTACACCTACACCGTCATCGGTGTTATGTTAGGGATATTGTCTTAAATAAGGTTTTTACTTTAGTTTAACACAATGGACAGATCTGTCAATATAGTGGGGACTATAAATAGAATAATGGTTTGAAATATATCATCATCGCCCGTCTACTATAGTATTCTATAATTTGGATTGACAAATGTTAGGTTTCAAGTATGTTTTAAAATAGAACAGTATTATCCGCTAGAACAGTCTGCGATTTACTTGTTTGGTATGT